GACAAGATAGCCTGCCAGCGGGCAAATATTTGTTTGGAAACTAGATTTTGAACATCTTTTTGCAGAATATCTTTGGCAGCTTTACAATCAGTTCGTATGAGAAATTGTTGATTGAGAATATCACTCTGGAATTTTGTAACACAATGAATAATGGCTAATAATTCCTTTTTTACCATAAAATAGTTTTGTTGAGTTGGATTCCAGGCTTTAGAAGTATACCTGAGTAGTTGTTCCTGATTATCGATGCATTGTTTGAGAATACCACCCAATCTTATTTCTGAGGCATCACATTCTATTATCTTGAAAGCAGTAGGATGAGGAAAAGAAAGGCAAACAAGCGTTTTGACCTTTTGTTTAATTAGTAGAACTGCTTTAGTATGAATATTTGTCCAAGGTGGAGGATTCTTTTTTAATCTATCATGTAAAGGTTTCGCATTTATGGCAAGATTAGGATAGAAATCACTTACATAATTTAAACATCCTAAGAGTCTTTGAAGTTCTTTTTTATCAAGTATCTGATCAGGGAATTTATCAGCAAACTGTATGGATCTATCTATGGGGATAATTATGCCATGGTGAATCATATGTCCTAAAAACCTAATGTTGGTTTTAAATAAAGTTATCTTTTTTGCCGATACAACTAATCCAGCATTCTGGATTGCATTTATAAAAGTATTAATATGTTTGATATGTTGATCGCTTAATTCAGAGAAGATCAAGACATCATCAATATAAACTATCATGAATTGATAATAAGCATTGAAGACATCATTCATTATTTTCTGAAATTCTGATGGAGCATTTTTCAAACCGAATGGCATTACATTCCATTCATATTGTCCAAATGGTACATTAAATGTTGTTTTATATTTATCTTGTTCTTGGATTTGTATCGGCCAATATCCAGATTTCATATCAAATTTGGAAAAGATACAAGCATTGGCTACTCTATCTAATAAATCTTTTTTATTGGGGATAGGATATCGAATCCATCGTAAAATTTTATTAAGAGGTTTATAGTTAATAACGAGTCGAGGAACTCCTCGTTCTTTTTCAGCATTTTTATTTACATAAAAGGCTGCACAACTCCAAGGTGAAGAGCTTGGTCGTATTAACTTTTTTATTTGGAGTTCATCTATTTCTTTTCTATACATGTCTAATAAGGTAGTATTCATTTGTATTGGTCTAGCTTTTGTAGGTATTTGTTTTTCATCAAATCCTTGTTCATATGGTAGACTAATACTATGCTTTTTCCTTTCCCAAAAAGCATTGGGATGTTAACTACATATACAGGTTTCTATGTGTT